AGACGTGTTCATGTATACAACGCTAAACAATCTGGACGTTTGAAAACAGACGGAGCAGATGTTCTGAAAGCCTTTGTTCTTTCTTATCAAAAAGCCTTTCTTACGCTGAGATGAAACATATTTTTAGGAGCATCTGTGCATGTGATTTCATACAATCCTGAATAAGGGATCACTTTTAAATGGAGATTTAGAATCATTTCAAAGACATTGTGCTATCTAAGCATTTTCAGGTCCATATCAGTATGTAGTGTCTCTACTTTAAAGAGTCCTCTCCTGCTGATGTTCAGGTGTATATCAGTATGTAGTGTCTCTACTTTAAAGAGTCCTCTCCTGCTGATGTTCAGGTGTATATCAGTATGTAGTGTCTCTACTTTAAAGAGTCCTCTCCTGCTGATGTTCAGGTGTATATCAGTGTGTAGTGTCTCTACTTAAAGAGTCCTCTCCTGCTGATGTTCAGGTGTATATCAGTATGTAGTGTCTCTACTTTAAAGAGTCCTCTCCTGCTGATGTTCAGGTGTATATCAGTATGTAGTGTCTCTACTTTAAAGAGTCCTCTCCTGCTGATGTTCAGGTGTATATCAGTATGTAGTGTCTCTACTTTAAAGAGTCCTCTCCTGCTGATGTTCAGGTGTATATCAGTGTGTAGTGTCTCTACTTTAAAGAGTCCTCTCCTGCTGATGTTCAGGTGTATATCAGTATGTAGTGTCTCTACTTTAAAGAGTCCTCTCCTGCTGATATTCAGGTGTATATCAGTATGTAGTGTCTCTACTTTAAAGAGTCCTCTCCTGCTGATGTTCAGGTGTATATCAGTATGTAGTGTCTCTACTTTAAAGAGTCCTCTCCTGCTGATGTTCAGGTGTATATCAGTATGTAGTGTCTCTACTTTAAAAGAGTCCTCTCCTGCTGATATTCAGGTGTATATCAGTGTGTAGTGTCTCTACTTTAAAGAGTCCTCTCCTGCTGATGTTCAGGTGTATATCAGTATGTAGTGTCTCTACTTTAAAGAGTCCTCTCCTGCTGATGTTCAGGTGTATATCAGTATGTAGTGTCTCTACTTTAAAGAGTCCTCTCCTGCTGATGTTCAGGTGTATATCAGTATGTAGTGTCTCTACTTTAAAGAGTCCTCTCCTGCTGATGTTCAGGTGTATATCAATATGTAGTGTCTCTACTTTAAAGAGTCCTCTCCTGCTGATGTTCAGGTGTATATCAGTATGTAGTGTCTCTACTTTAAAGAGTCCTCTCCTGCTGATGTTCAGGTGTATATCAGTATGTAGTGTCTCTACTTTAAAGAGTCCTCTCCTGCTGATGTTCAGGTGTATATCAGTATGTAGTGTCTCTACTTTAAAGAGTCCTCTCCTGCTGATGTTCAGGTGTATATCAGTATGTAGTGTCTCTACTTTAAAGAGTCCTCTCCTGCTGATGCTCAGGTGTATATCAGTGTGTAGTGTCTCTACTTTAAAGAGTCCTCTCTGATGATGCTCAGGTGTATATCAGTATGTAGTGTCTCTACTTTAAAGAGTCCTCTCCTGCTGATGCTCAGGTGTATATCAGTATGTAGTGTCTCTACTTTAAAGAGTCCTCTCCTGTGTTGGAGCGCTACCCAATAGAAGTTAGTAACCTATATAACAAATTACAGAAAAGGGACAACCCTAAAAAGCAGAATAGGGCCTCTTTAAGCAATTAGCAACATGTAGAACTTCATGGCTTGAATTCAGGGTTATTGAATTTATCAAAGCTATGCTGCTCATCCGTTGAAGCAAAAAGAAAAGTCCATCTGCACGGGAACAAAGGTTATTGCTGCGGAGACATAATAGAAGCCCATTTGCGGTCAATATCTCTTTCACTACCTGCAGCACAGTGACACGCTCTCGTCACACGGTGAGCAAATTGCATGTATTCTCAAAGTCGATTGATTACGCCACCTCGACGATGAGAGGAGGCTTTAATAAGAATGGCCTGGGAAAAATACTGCCATCTGTAGGCACATTAGGTATTGATTATTACCCCAATGAAATCATATCCTGCAGAACGAGTACTCGCATTAAAATCAAATGGTGCTTTTCAGGTGATGGGTGAGTTAATAAGGCTCTGCTTAATGGGACGGTGAAAGCTTTCATTTCACTGGTTGTGCTCATGCTGCAGATTCTGGCTCTCAAACACTTACAAAATGGACAAGGCTTCCAACACATTAGGGTTTAAGTAATACTTTATATCCTTTTCATTTCACAGCTTGTGTCTCCTCGCATATGCTGCCAATTTCAGATGGATTTAATAAAGTAAGTGAAGATGTGTTAAGAGAGAAAATTGTCTTTTTTTACTAAGAAGTACTTTCTCTTCCCTTGTGTTCATGTATACCTCTGCCAACTACTTTGAATCAATGCCCAAAATAAATAGGAGCCCAAAAAAGAGACAGTTTATCAGTATGTAGTGTCTCTACTTTAAAGAGTCCTCTCCTGCTGATCCATATCTTAGTCCTTCAACGACTTTTGTCGATTGTTTCTCTTGTAAAATATCCTTTTTTATCTCGTTTTTCATAACAATAGTTCCTTTATTGATTACCGTCTGTATTCAATTATGTTGCATCCTCATTTCCACCCTTTGTGTGCCAACTTTATTCCTTATAAGTGTATCCAAGTTCCATTTCTTGATCTGTATATGTTTCTTGATTGTCTAAATGCGATTGAAACCACGTGGATACTAAAAATCTACATCTAGTTCTCCCTTATCTTCAACTTTGACCTTCATTCAGGAACGTAGACGTCACTTCTGACCAGACATTGGCCGTTTCTCAATCGCGAGGATTTTGGCTTCCAAGCCAATATTTCAAGGATGCTACGTCATCGAGTGCCGCCGTAGGACTGTTCCAATTTCCAGCATACTTGGAATTCCACCGCGTCCTTGGTTTGGGGGAAATTTCGAGGCTGCACATGGGTAGACTTCGCGTCCTTAAAATCCCCACAATGCTTTGCGCACGGACCAATTTCAAAAACCCTTGCGGAGAGGAACCGACGCAGCACACATTTAAATGTAAGTATGTAGGGGCGTAGAACATGTGTTGGTAAATATGTTACTTTGTTACATTTGTTTGTTATCACCAAAAATGTGTTCCGTGAAAGTAAAGCCAGTTCATAATTAGATAGACATCGTGAGGTATTTATTTTTGGTACAGTTTATGTTGAAACCGTTAGAGAGAGTGGCACACTTGTTAGCCTGTTCCATTCTTCTTCGTTTTCCGTAGCCGTGGCTTGGAAGTATACTTGTTTCGTTTCTGAAGGAAGTGACTTGGAAGTACACGACTACCAAGCCAGCATCCTCGATTGAGAAACGGCCATTGACTCTGGACCGCCGTGGGAAGTGTTTCATTCTGTCCTGTTTTATCACGCTGAGAGATATTCTATAGCCTTTGTGCCTGAAGCTGAGATGGAGATGATTATTCACGCTTATTATTTCCTCCTCCCGTCTAGACAATCGTTCCTCCCTCTCCTCTGGGTGCTTTACAATGGGTCGTATACGAGCTGCAGTTAATCCCTGATTAAGATGACCATGACCCTTTCACAATAAAATACCTGCTTGTTGGAGATGGTGTGGAGTCTATTTGTATATACCATTACAAGACCGATTCTTATTATTACATGAAATGTTTATTGTGCTCATTGAGATGTTGCTATGTCTTTGGAATAAATAGACAACATCACCAATCCCAAGTTTTGATTGGTTGGATAGGAAACGAAAGGGAAAAGTCCTAGAGACAGTTTTAGCTTGCAATATTATTGTAGCAAGGTCAGGTGCACACTGTAGGAAGACAATGAGTTAGAAACAGTGAGCTCCACGCCCATGCATGACTGGGACCCAGTATAATGAAGGATCCACTATCTGTAGAAACTTTAGCAAAAAAATGACGGAGGATAGCGAATAGAATAGTCAGAGGATTTGTGTGTTTTGATTTGTATTTGTGAAAGCTTCGCCTGCAGAATGCTGATTGGAAGATCGTGTTGCCAAGAGACTTTTGTCTAAGTCTGTGCGCCAACGAGAGAGAACCAAAGTCTAAACCACGGTTTCTTTCCAACTAGTCTCAACCAATCATAATATGTGTGAAGCTGACCGTTGAGCGGCCCGACCAAGCAAGGAGGCAGAACGTCCAAAATACAACCCGGTGTGGGCATTTATTACTCACGGGCACATGACACAGCCTCAATCTCGCTGTTCACGTGAGCACAGTCACCAGCCACAAGGATCTCACACACACTACCTGCCAACACTGACAGGGAAAACAGAGCCTAAACACACACACACTAATCAATCAACAAGACACAGGTGAGGGGGGAGGAGACAACACAGGGCACCAGGTGAACACAATCAACCACAATGAAGCTATACAACCCGTAACGGAGGCCGAGATCTATGGGCCCAGAGATCACCTCCGTGACAATATGACGCCTTTATTCTGTAATAACTAAATGAAATGTGTTTTGCCAGTTTCCGGAGCTCTGGAAGGAAATGTTGGACGGTTAACTGCTTGGAGTGAAAAGGGATCTCCAGAGACCTCAGCTGAGCGTTTGTATTCCTTATCACAACTGAAATAAATCAGTTTTATCATAACCTTATTGCCTGGTCCGACTCCTTGCTTCGTAGAGGAATTGTGAACCTGACAATGAGTAAGCATTTGATTTTCTCTACATCTCTTTTTGCATTACATTTGCCTTGTTTACTGCACTTTATTATGTCTTTTTATTTTATGTTATGTATGTCTTGTTGCAGGAGCATGAGGTTTAAGATGTTATGGCCAAAACGACGCTGTAGCTTTTGTGCATTTGACAAATAAACCCCTTTGAATCCTTTCCACCTCCTCACAGCTCGTAACACTAGCACAAAGTAGAAGCTTTCTTTGCATCTAAGTCGTTGCCCTACGTCTGGTTTTATAGATTTGCTTTAGCAGGTGTTACATGCATGCATATTTGTGCATTAGTGTGTGCTTGTGTTGTGCTTTTGCCAATACTCACAGCTGGAGAAGACGAGAGGACAGGAGTGTTCGTCCATCGGGAAATTATGGAGCTGCAGCTGGCATTCTGCGTTGATGGTCATCCTGAAAACGAGAGAGAAACAAGCAGAGACTGAGACAAAGACGTTGGAGGCTCTAGGAAAAAAACTGCGTCAGCTTCTTCATTTCTCGGTCCACGAAGCACATGGTGTGAATGCTCAGTATTCATCGCTGCTTATATCACATCATGCTCTTTTGGAGGCGCTGACTTCCAACCAGATGGTGCAGGATCACAGTTGGTTGCTTGGCTGATGTGTGAAATCCCTCAAAATGACAGGACTGTTTAATCATCCGCCTCAGACATGTTTTTGGCGGAGACGGCATTAACTTATAGGTCAGGGCCCCCGAGGCATATAAGCGTCTAAAACCAGGAGTACTTTGCTACGATCAGTGGACAAGTCAACACAGCAGATGTTTGGAGGAAGTGCACAGATCACAAAGACACAGCGGATTAGTGTTACAGGCAAAATACACTAAATTCATATTCTCCACGTGTTACTTCATATATATTATCCTCAAATTAATTCTCACTGGATACATAATGGCTGCAAAAGTAAGACCATCATGAACATATAGTGGCACCTTTGTCCTGGGGATGGTTTCTCATTAGATGAGCCCATTCAAATAAAGGACGCTGGTTACACAAAGTGCAGATGATGTACCGTACAGTCGCAATTATCTTTAAATATGTATACTTTAAAGAGGCCCTGTTGTGCTTTTTGGGGTTTTCCCCTTCCTCTAGTGTAGTATACAGCTTTTGGTGCATGTAAATGGCCAAAGGTTGCCTCCAGAGGATGTTCCTTAATCATGAAATACAAATATGAACCTAGCAGAATAAGGCCCCTTTAATTTACATTCAGTCCCAAACGATGGTATCTTCTATATGTTGCAAATGACTACTGTAATGTCCGTCAATGCATTTCAAATCCGTCTTTTCTTACTTTAGCTTTTTTGACCCGCTACCAGCAATATATATCATAACAATCTGTGTATTTTCATCCTTTCTCTCCATGGTCTCATGTCATCTGAATATATTTCGTCATGCATTATCTACCCCTCTCCAAAAGTCCTTATTAACGTCGCTGCGTAAGCTTCCATCGTTTGTCAAGAGCCCGAAACTCTTAATTTTGATGAGTGTCAAAATTAAGTTTGAGCGATCCAAACAAACGCCTCCTTTAAGACTTAATATCCTTTTAATGAAACAATAATTTTCAAATTCATCACAGAGACACGCACTAGCTGGAGTCAAATGAGCGAATTAAAAGCCTAATGTTTGGTGGGAAGATGTGAGGAGACATTTCTAGAATGAGATGTATTTTCAACATGACTGCTGTGGAGAAGTATTTGTTGTTGGCCCGTGCATTGCTAGACATATGAGAAAATAGGTGGAAGCTCAAGATGACAGTATGATTACCCTCAAATTATCACCCTACCATTTTGAGTTTTATTTTGGGTAATTTTTTCTCCTCACAGCTGTTTCCATACACCTTTTATTGATTTGATTTGACAGAATCTGTGCTTTCCTGACGCCGCAGGAGCTTTGCATTGTTCCTCCAGGGATTGAAAACAAACACTTATGGCAGTATTGCTATTTGGCCAAGGTTCAGTTTGAAAAGCCCAGACACGCAGGTGAGATGTGGACGCCTAAGACAGAAAAAGCTCATGTCAGAGCTTTGAGGGTTCATAAACCCAGACGCCACTCAGATGTAAAAAGAACCCGTCCTCTCCAATCCTGAGTGCTTTTTCTGTAGACACTGACACGGTGAGGGGTGTTTTGTCATAAGGCCAAGTACACACACACACACACACACACACACACACACACACACACACACACACACACACACACACACACACACACACACACACACACACACACACACACACACAACACACACACACACACACACCACACACACACACACACACACACACACACACACACACACACACACACACACACCACACACCACACACACACACACACACACACACGTTCTCACTCCCATCCCGTCACATATTGACGGACGGTCAGGGCCCCTCCCCGTCGCTATATGACGTACAGGGTACCCCTTGCCCGTCAGGCTTCTACGGGCAGGGCGTCCCATAGACCTTCATTGCGGACAGCGGACCCCTTGATCGTCAGGCTTCTACGGGCAGGGCGTCCCATAGACCTTCATAGACCACGTGATCAACAACAATGGCCGACCTTCGTGTTATTCTCGGTGGAAAAGGCCTATTTTAAGGTTCATTTGGCCAATAAAATGCGTTTTGATGTCATTTTATGCGATTAATATGAGTTGTTATTTCTGATTATTTGTGCAGTACATGGACATGATGTTTAGTTTGCTAGTTATGACGAAGATTACTTCATGAATGTGTACACATTCATGGTTGCTAAGGTGGTTGCTATGGACGCTGCAACAGCTCCCAGACCACGTGATCAACAACAATGGCCGACCTTCGTGTTATTCTCGGTGGAAAAGGCCTATTTTAAGGTTCATTTGGCCATTAAAATGCGTTTTGATGTCATTTTATGCGAGTAATGAGTTTTTATTTCTGATTATTTGTGCAGTACATGGACATGATGTTTAGTTTGCTAGTTATGACGAAGATTACTTCATGAATGTGTACACGTTTTTTGGGTGGAAATGTGTTTTTTCACAGCAAAGTCACCCTCTGTACTTGGACTTATTGGGAGAATCTAAAGGCAAGAACATCCCAAATATTCATTTAGGTCTTTATTTTAGACCTTTAGTGTTGCCGTCTGTGAGGAAAATAAATGGGGCTCAGAGCCTCGTATTTTTAAAATCTTTTTTTCCTTCTAATTTGTTATTCTTTTCAAAATAGCACACTGTTATTTACTCACCAATAACACACAATTATCCTTGCTTTTATTTATTGGTTTAATTCCATAATCTCGGGCTTTTTTGGCGTCTGTCAGGAACTGAATTTTCAAAATAAAAATAACCGGAAACAGACGTAGGCATTTCGAGCGATTACCCAAGATCCTCAGCTACGCTGATTTGATGTTTTAGCCGCAATGCATGCTGGGATTTGGTGTTTATATGATATGAAATCCGGAAAACATTTTAAAAGAATAAAAGAATACTTAATTCCGAGTGCTCTTGCTTTTCTCTTTGAAAGTCATCACATAACGGCATTATAATACACGGTTCGGCTGCATTGTATATTACAGATCTGCCGTAGTTCTTTATTTATAGAGCCCTGATGAGAAGACCTTTGGAAAAACTGAAGAAATGCCGCCGAAACTGAATACTTGACGTGGATCATAAATATTTCAACAATTAAACAACATCTTCAATTTCTCTTCACACAATACGTCTCCTTGCAGTATCAACACTAATTCGGCTGACTTTTACATTTGATATAATTCATAGATAGGTTATATTTACACCATAACGGTGCACAGCTTATATAAAAGGATTTGTAGTTTTTAAAGATATTACTGATTTGAATTGGATTGCATTTTGAATGTAAGAATGTAAATACTGAGTCTGAAATAGTATAGCAATATGCTGTAAAATTATGTGAAAGCATGAATAAAACTACACATCTTCAGATGTTGTACATACAAGTGTCCAACACTAATAATACAAAGTTATTATGGCTGTGTGTACCTTGTGTGCACCTCCTAGTGGTTAAAGCACGTTATTGAATTATTGTTTTTATGTGTTTTATTTGTTTAAAAAAATATTAAGAGTACATACTTTCATAGGGGAAAAGTATAAATATAGAATATAAAAAATCAAGAAGATACTATAAGTGATCTCTACAATAAAACAGTTTAGTGCAGAATGTACAAAGATATTAATAGGAGGAGGTGCAAAACACAAAAACGAATTAACCTTTATTTAAACATTAAATAACAGATTAAGGTCTTCTTTTAAATAAGAAAAAAACTTTGGGGGTATCTATCTACAGATACATATTAAGCCTGACAAAGTACTTAACGTCTAATATATTGCTTTCCTGCAATGTTAACTATGTTGAAGCACTTATTTTAACTGATATTATACATATGGATTATACTCTTATGTATGTAGATAGAATAAGAAATGTGCAGAATATGACAGTTTAATGGTGGAGGTATACACATATTGATAGATGTCTTGTAATAAACTGTTGATTGCATAACTACACCGTAGTTGTGTATATGATATGTCAATAAACCTTTGAAAATCTTGAAAGGGATGTGCAAAATAGCCATAATATACAGTCTTTAATGAACTATTAGTAGAGAATAACGAGTAATGAATATACTTTATTACTCGTTTCCATTCATGTCAATTGCAGATACATGTTTAGTCTTCTCAAGCACCAACTATCAAATATCTCTCCTGATTGTTGGCACTTGACAATCACCTTACCTGAATGTTACTCAGGTGTAACTAAAGTCTGATTTAAGGGTTGTTTATATTTCACATCATTAATCAGAATCTGCAAAGTAACTAAAATAAGTGTAGTGGAGTAAAAATACCAGGTTAACCTCTGAATTGTAGTTGAGTAGAATTACAAAGTATCAATGAGCTGTCATGTGGGTATATATTAATGCTATATATTAATGCTGCGCATTATGGACAGCGATTTTCACCCATTTATTAATTATATGTTTTACATTTGATAACACCAATGTGTTTAATACTGGCAACTTGTGGGGGAAACGTTCAGTAGAGACGTCCCATAGAACATTTTGCGAAACACAATAGTGTAGTGTATAGTTCTGGGGGGGCGTTCGATTCCAGTTTTGGATAGTCTGGCGTGGTTTCGTTCCATTTCAAACAGCTGTTTGACGCTCGGCGTAACCTTGGCGCACTGCCACTCCAACATCCAATCCCAGACCTTGAAGATTAATCACGGGGACTGTAGTCCTAAACGATAGCTGGGGATTATGGGTAGTGTAGTGTCTTCGGCCATCCTAAACTCAAAAATGTTGACAATCGCAATGATGCTCGAAATGTCCCTTATAGGCCTACGTCTGTTTCCGGTTATTTTTATTTTGAAATGCAGTTCCTGGCGAACGC